ATCTGAACGCCTTAAACTACCCCAAAAATTCTGGCTTTGGCAGTTTCCTTTGATCCTTATTAGGCATTCTCGCCTGTAAATCTCTGTTTTGTAGCCTCCAGTCTTACTTATTCCTGGGGGCTAACACAAGTGTATATCTTAAGTTTTTTTTTCTTCTTCTTCTTATTATTATTTTAATGCCCAAGAATGACTGTGTTTGGTTTAACTTTTTTTTTTTGCTAAATGTTTAAGATCAAGCTGGTCAAAATTGACTTTGTTTCTGCTAAGAGACAGCTTGGTTCCCACAGGGGTCACTCATGGGGATCCTGAGAGCATTTCTTAGCCCCACTCGTGCAATTTGCACTAGGATGGGTCCAGGTCTTGCTGAACATGTAGCTTCCCTTGAAAGCATCAGCGATATCTCCATTGTTCAATGACCCTCCTCTTGGTAGCAAGTGCACTGATTGGCTTTTCATTCTCCAGTGGTCTCATTAATCTCCCTGATCAGGAGGCTATGTGGCCCAGAGTTGCATAGATTAGACTCTCCTTAAGTTAAAAAAAAATTAAATTTTACTATGGTGTAAAAAGTAACATAAAACTTCATACATCTTATTGATAACAGATCCATTTATAGAATATTAAATGATATAAGGTGTATTAAGAATTGTAATGCAAGAAAAAAATAAGACAGCTCATGTATAATGACAAAATACCCTTTTAAAATGAAAAAAAAGAATATTAAATGATATAAATAAATGCCCTCCAAATTTGTTATCCTTATGGTTATAAAATTACCATACAACTTTAGTTTGGAGAACACCAGCTTGATATAATGTTCTTTTAAACCTTCTACCTTCAAGACTTGTATACCTGGAAGATATGAATACATTTAATATACAAAGACAAGTAATAGCACCATGATTACATTGATGTTTTTATAGTAACCAAGTTTTTTCATTTACCAATTTATAAAACCCTCAATGTTACCCTATGGAATTAAAGGAGTTAAGAATACTTGATGTCCTAACAGTTAGTAATTTAACCTTGTAAATTAATCAGATGTTTAACAGACACATTTATGAGTAATCCTATGTCAAATCTACTTCACTTATTTTTACCAAGATATCAGATAAGTGTATTGAACAGTATCAGTCTTTTCTTCTTTGTTGAAGAAAAGTCCTAGAACCAAGAGATATTATACATTTTATAGACATCAACATTTTTTTTAGTTCTTTGACCATCTAGAGACTTGTGAGTTAATTAAAAAAATCTTTATTTTTATTTGTTTACCCAATCTAAGTTGAACCATTTTAAGTCACATGAATTAAATATATTTGGATCAATTTTTAATTTATGAGCACTCATTTTCTGCCAATCTTGATATCCTGTACATCACATATGGACACACATACATGTGGACAGACAACACATAACACCAGTGTGCATACATAACACAATAGCAAAGGCCTTGTAGCTTTTTGTAGGTGAATCTCCATTCCAATGTTACAGATGTTTTAAAAAATTCCATAGTTGAATAAACATTTTGGGCGAGATAGAGGGGGCCATGCAAGAGTGAAAGTGAGTATATCAGGTGGACTGAAAGTCCTGACATACGCCTAGAAGGAGCTGGGGAAAACTGTTGTTCTCTAACCCTACTCTCAAACTCGCCTGTATCCCTCAGGTTGGAAAGTGTTGGATAGGATCATGGAAAGTTAAATTTCATGATTGGGTTTGGTATTGAAAATCCTCATGTACCCTGAAGGATTGGAGGTGAAGGACCCTAGCCTCTTTTTGATTTGAGAGAGGTCACTAAGGGAGAAAGGGACATGTACCTGGACAACTCCCTCCAACACTGAGGTGTGGAATGGGTAGCAGGGGCCATTTGAGGGAAAGAAGTGAGTAATGGGTGGACTGAAAGTAGGTGAGGGAGGTCCCATAGGAGTTGGAGCAGAAGGTGGAGAATGGTAGGGAGGGGGTTCATCAGTGGGGTCAAGATCGGGGGTTCGAGAGGGTCCAGAGTTCGAGAAGAGAGGGTTGAAGAGCCAGCAAAACTGAGCCAGAGAGCAGTAAGAGCAGAGGAACAGTTTAGAAGAAATGAAAGAAGGGCTCTCTTTCCATTTCCCCCAGCACTGACAAAAGTGAAAAAGTTCCTTCAAAAATGTTTGGACCTAGAGGGCCCTTAAGCTGCCATTTGGAATCATTGTCTAAGGTATAAAGGGGCCAAATTTGGTTGCAGAGATGAATTAGTTTCTGTGCCTTTAAGTCAGGAGTAAGGTGAAGCGAGTCCAAATTTGCTAAAAAGCAACCCAAGAGGGTGTCTGAGGGGATGGCAGAGGTGGCTGCACCCATGGCAAGAGAGCATGGGTAGGCAGAAGCAGAGGCATCCCTCTTATATGGAATGAGGAAGAGCTAACAGCTCTGGGAGTCATCATTGTCTCAAGGTGGTAGCTGGGGTTAAGGCCCATATGCCTGGCACCGGGGCTTTGAGCTGAAAGAGTAATGGAGATGCAGAGTGAGAGAGATCTTTTACCAGGGTTGAGACCCTCCAAACCTATGGACTCGGCCAACAGTAGGCACCAGCCATAGCTCTGAAAGCCATAATTGGTTGTGCCCCCTACCAAAGAGAACCTAGGAAGTGTTGGATGTTCTACAGTCACTTCCCAGGACCCATAAGCCATTTGAATCAACCAAAGACAGGGGAACTTACCTGAATCAGCCAGTGGTGGATGAGAAGTTGAGCGCTTGGAGAAATAGAAGATGGGTTCACAGTGAGGGCAGCCTAGGACAGAGTATAGGATCCCAAAGCAGCTCAGCTCCCCAAAGGGAGAGCAAGATCAATGGGAGAGCCTAATCTGAGTCATGGCACCAATGAAAGGACACTTGCAAAGTCCACACAAAGTTCAAGGACCACACCGCACACCAGAATCCCACGCAAGAGATTTATTGTCAGAGCATGGAGCAAACTGACAAGGCTGTCCTTCTGAGAAGAGCAGCAACCTGTCAGAACTCACAGAGCAGCTTTATAGCTCATAAGAGGAATTTCACAAGCATGCTTTAGGGGTTATGTCATGGACTGGGGTAGGGTAGACCCTTTAGCAGCCACGAGTTCTTATGGTAGGCTAAGCAGCATTGCCTCTGGGTCTCTAGTAAAATGGCTGCTAAATCAAAACTTAGGAGTCCCGAGATAAAAGTGGCTCCCGACCTAAAATAATAGATGTGATTCCAATATTGATCTTATGCCAATATTATGTATTTTCTTAAGTTAAAAAACAAGTCATTTAGAACAAGAGTACATTTAGGATTATCTACGAATTATTTCCATAAAAATCAGAGAGCAATTCCACTGGGAAAACATCTTCAAAATTACATAAATATTAATTCCATGTTAATTCCATTAAACCAGTCCTGGGTAAAAATTTATAATTGAATACTTAACATATTTTTTATATCAATCAATAGAATAGACAATGAACAAGAATGAGAAGAAAATGTATGGATTTTTAATTGAAGGTGATATAATTTTAAGAATTTCCCTTTATGGCTAAATATATTAGGATAATTTAATTATTCCATTTGTGAATCCATTTCAACATCAGCAAAACAAAAAAAACATCACATGGGACAAGAGTGAGATTTAATAACACAACATGTTTGATGTATGTAAAGCACATACACAACAATAATAATGTCTTTACTTGTCTACGATTCAAGTTAAAATTTTACTTTAATTCATTTTCCAATGATTTGGAAAAATAATTTAAGAATATGGGAAAAAACAGAACTCACATGAAGTTCTTTTGGGAATTCTTACAAATTCTAGGACTTTCCTAGTCTTGTGTATTAAAAAAAATGAAATGAGAGAAAGTGGGAGGATATTTGGTATCATCCACAGTATTGGTGCCTGGTGAATTTCTACTTTTATGTCCACGAGGGCCCTATTGTTTTTTGCACACCAGCTTACAAATAAAAAATCATATAGTGTACAACACTGTTCTGATATATAAAGATGTAAACATTGTAAAATGATTAGTACAATCCAGCTAATTACCATTTCTTCCCAAATCACCCCTGAGATATTATTGATTTTGACAAAGAAATAGTAATCTATTAATTAATGATCTTGCAATTTGTAAGAAACTACAATTTGAATACATGTTTGTCAGATTCCAGACCTTGTTCATTCCATGACATTAAACTTCATCTTAATTATTTAATACTTGGCTTCTAGATAATTTGTCTCTTGTTTCTGTGTAAATCATATGTTATAAAATTAATCATGCTTTTGATAAAATGAGGACTTGTAGAGAACACAACATTTGATGTATCTCTATACAAATGTTCTTTTTACATAAAACTAAGTTTTGTGTTCTTAGTTTCCCTAGGAATTAAAAGTGCTGGAAACAAAATTTTATTAATATAAATTATTTGTGAAATTTTCAGAGAATATTTTAATCTGCTTTTTCTAAAACCAAAAAAGGATGATACATGCTTGTTATCTGTCAACAACTTAAATTTTGATTATAATTTATTACTAAATGTCATTTAATGTTAAGTGTATTCTGTAGCTTCTGTAGAAATCTAAGCTTTAATTTCAGATTCTAAAGTTTCATTCTACAAATAGTTCAAATAAGTACATTACAATGTCACTTGTTACATATCACAGTTTGTATTTTAGTCTTAGATCCAGGAATAAAAAAATGATAAATAGGAATACTAATTTCTCAAATTTTGTTTATGAGTAAGTCAATAAAGCATTTAAAAAAATAAGTCAATGTAAAATGTAAAACTTCTGTGAGGATGTTGCTCTCAATGCACTGGTGGTTTTGATAAGTGAATGAGTATATATTCCTGATAAGAATTATCATAAAAAATAAATCTTAAATTTATTTTAATCTTTAATTCATATAAATCATGTGGAAGGAAATATTAAATTTGTTAATATTTAACTTTTGCAAAATCAAATATATAAAATCAGTGGGAAAAGTAGCTATCAAAGTCAACTTATGTGTCTATTTGTATTTTTATTTAGAATATTTTTTCACACATGTGTAAATATACCAGATTAATCTATCTACTTTCTCCTCTATATAACTGGGTAGAATGTATGAAAATAGTTGTTGGTTTTTTTGGGGGGGGTGGTGGGGCGTTATTGTTGCTGTTTATAGGAAAGTTTTCTTTCTAGAAGTGAAGGTAAAATCAGCATACTCCAGCTAGCCATGTGGGTCATTTCGTTAGTTAATTTGCTTTTGTTGACTTTGAAAATTCTGAACTGAGAAATTTCTTGGTTGATGTTCATTAAAATTGCAGTAAATATTTTCATCTTTGCTCATTCCTGCAAAGTTAAAATATCATCCTTTATTATACTTCTTGGAATTTAATAACTTGGTTTATTTTTGGTAATGTATACACAAACATAAACATATATATAGCCTATTATATATAATAATATAATATCTATTATAAATATAGCCTAATATATATATATATAGCATATATTTAATGTTCATATATGTTATTTGTGAAGACATGGAGTCAGAGTGGCTAGAGCTCTTGGGGTCCAAGGAATTACAGAGTGGTGAGTTTCTTTATGCTTTATATATCTCAGATAGGGAATTGTGGAAACAAGCAACCTGGAAAAGTGGGCACAGACAATTAAATACTTAATTATTTAATTGTGCAATTAAATGCACAAGTAAATAAGTAAAAAGAAGGGAAAAAAAAAAAAGAGAGACAAATCATAGTATCCCCTAGTCCAAGAACCAGGAAAGGTTCAATGCATTGTATTCTATCTTGATCGAGAATATTCAATCAATTGTTCTAAATATACATAAAAACTATGGTCACCACCCCTACCCACACCAGTAAAGACAGGGAGAGCCTTAGAAGTCTACCTTAACTACCACTGTAACATGTCCACTGCCTTTATCCCTATCACACAGTGTGGGGTTGTTCTACAGAAGGTCATATAGGGAGCTAAGGTTTTTCATGTCATCTGGAAGCCTGCCCTTTTCCCTTTCCACTGGGACTATGTCAAAGGAGGCCTATTAGATCACCAGGATTTTCACCATTGCCCAGTAATGATGCATCAGTCACCTTCTTAGGAGTCAATATATTCAGTGGGGCACAGCAGTGATGTTCTCCTAGCCCATCAAGCCAGAGATATCAGTGATAGTCTGTGTGGGAGCCTCAAATCCCACTGCTGCACAGAAGTAGGAAGAAATTCCAACTCCAGATGTGAACAAGGTCTTCAAGACATCTATCTATACCCACCTGACAGCCATCAGGTGGTGAATCCCCCTTCCCTCTAAGAATCATTTAAAATGTAACCACTGGGGAAAACTGGTAAATGGTACATCTGATTCTCTGTACAATATTTGCAAATTTCTGTGAATACAAACTTAATTCAAAATTAAGTAGTTAGCCAGGTGCGGTGGTGCACACCTGCAATCCCAGCAACTCAGAAGATCAAGGCAGGAGGATCACAAGCTCAAGGCCAGCCTCAGCAAATAGCAAAGCCCTAATTAACTGAGACATTTTCTCAAAATAAAAAATAAAAAGGACTGGGGATGTATCTCTGAGTTCAATCTCCAGTACCTGGAAAAACAAATAAGTAGTTAAATAAAAGATTGAATATTACATAAATAACAGGGGTTGTAATCAAGAGAGATAAAGAGGTAACTGCCGTTAACACAGAGTTCTTTAATTATATTTATCTTTTAAATCCTCTCCAAATGGAGTATTTAAAAACCTAAATAAGAATATAATTTTTCTCAATATTTTCTCCCAATGGTTAACTTAATGAAGTTTATGGAGAAAAGGTAATTCAACTCCATCAACTAACTAAAACTTTCACGTTTCTAGTTGCCAATTTAGTCAGTTAATATCACTACTTATCCCCTGACCTTAACACCACTCACACATACTCAATTAAAGTGGAGTATTTCGGGAATACTCAACTGCCTATTTGTAGCATAATAGAAAAGTATAACCGACACCTAAACATGACCAATAGAGAATTTTTTCTGTTCCTGGGAAATGTTTAAAGTTGGAGTATAGTAGCATGTTTAAATATATGTATTATATTCAAAATCATACATAATATTTATATGATTATATATAATATTTTATATATAATATATAGTATATATATGGCATTATATATATATAATATTGATACTTAACCACAATACTATAACAAAATAATTATTTCAATTAGGATAACAATTTATTTTACATACCAGTGTGATGTTAATTTTCAAAAAGCAGATTCCTTCATCATAAATCACTTCCCAAGATATCTCTTTCAAAGGTTTCTCTTTGGCTGACAGCTTTCTCTACTGCTGACAGTTCATTTCTCCAGAATCATGAGCTTCTTTTAAAAAGAGGGATAAAAAGGGAGAAAAACATTATACTCTCTTCTATATTAGGCTAGTAAATAAGATATCAAATGTAGCTAATACTCCTCTATCCCTAATGTGCTTCTTAAAATTTTTGAGTGTTAAGCCATAAGAATAGTTCTTGTATTATTTTTTACTATCAAATCTATATCTCAGTTATAAACATAGCCAATGTATAGTGAAAAATGTAGAAGTAACTGTTTTGGAAAATATCTTTGTTGCTTCTTTATGTATTTTAATAAAGAGAATATTTTGTTAATACAGTATCATAATCCCACCTAACATTAACAATAATTTCTTAACAACTACAATTCAATTTATATTTAAATCTCCTCAAATGTCTCAAAATGTATTTTGCTGTTGACTTTTTAAACGAATGAGATGCTAGTTTAAGTAATAACTTTGAATAAGTCAGAATTTCTGTCTCTCTGAAAACTTGGGAAATCTTTCTCAGTTACCCGTAGCTGCTCTTTGCTATTCTTTCCGTAAAGAATAATGTCTATGAACATATGCAGTGTGTCCTTGGACTTGTGCCGTTCAGAATTCCACTTGACAGGAACCATTCAGCAAATTACAAGGGTTCTTTGTCATTCCTTGTTGTCTAGGCCCTGCCCACAATTTCTAGCCACCTTAGCAAAATAATCACTCTCATTCGGGGCTCCACCTCCTTACACAACAATTTTAAAGACTCCCTCCACCCCCCCCCGCCCCCACCTTGAGAAGTTAAACTCAAAAATGACGTTATAAACTCTTTCCAATTTATTATTTTCTTTAGTATAACATGAAATATCAAGGTCCAAGCTCTTAAATTGTTACTGTGCTTTTAAGGGGGCAATATCCTCTTTCCATATCTGCTCTGCTGGGCCTAGGATGTTTGTGTCACTGTAGTGTAGTTCTGTAGTCATATATGGCTAAGGCTCTCAACCCCATGCGTGAACAATTTACACATAAACTTTTACTAGATTTTCATGTATAAAAGAATTAGCTTAAAATTTGTTTGACTAATGATGTCCTTATTCACCAACAATGGTCAATTTACATTCCGTCTTGAGTGTAGTTTAGTTATCATATTTGATATACATACATTATAACAGTTTTTCCCATTGTATTGTTACTGAAAGCTTGGTCCTTGTCCTTGAAGCCAATCGAATAACAAGGACAGGGTTTTGAGAAAAAGATAAAAGAAATTTTATTGCTTTGCTTGCAAGGGAGAAGCAAAGGATTGCTGTCCCAGAGGCGGAGAGGCTGTGATTCAGCCCAGGAAGGGGAAGAGAGGATTCTCAAGGAGGTGATTCAAAGACTATATTTCAGGTGTTCTGTATTTGGAGTTATTCACATATTAATTTGAGAGAGAGTCAATTCTTAGATCTGGTGCCATCCCAGAGTCTGAATTACTTGATAAGTGAGGGTGTGTGTGCTCAAGGACAAGTAACTCAGTTTAAGGGAGAGAAGAAAGATAATCCTATTTTCCCAATATCAGGAAGTGGGGGAGATTAGGGAAGGATAAGAAGAGAGGAAGAGAGAGAACAAGTCCATTTTAAAAACAAGTCACAGTGGTAGAGCAGTATGGGCTATACTAAAAGCATAAAGTGGACCAATAGTGAGTATTAAAAGTAAAATTAATATAATCCATCATAGAACATTGATGGAAATGAGTGAATTAAGATTCTTGGCTCTTAGCTATGGACATGCAGATTAATATCTATGGGAAAATTGGTAAGTGAAACTATAGACTACTCATTTTTCACATTGCAAATTAGGGTCGTTTGATCTAGTATATGTTTCACTTTTAATTTTATCGATAATATTTTCTGAATTAATATGCTCAGAAAAAAGTTCCGTAACTGATTGTAAAAGATCAACAATTTATATCTGAAATATGTACTAATTGTTAAGTACATTTTTATTCCGTTTTTTAAAAATTCACTTAATTTGAATGAGTTCCAAATTATTCATTGATTTAGGTTTTGAATTTTTGATTGATGATTCAATCTTGGTTGTTTAATAGCTATCTAAAAATTATATCTGGATTTCCAATTTAATATATGCTTATTTGGTAAAGACTAATATTAATATAAAATCATATGTAATTAACTAATCTCACTTTAATTTGGGGGGGGGTAACTAGGTATTGAACCCAGGGGCCCTTAACATCTGAGCAATATTCCCTAGCTCTTTTTTATTCTTTGAGAAAGGGTCTCACTAAGTTGCTTAGACCCTTGCAAAATTAACTTCGAACTTGTGATCCTCCTGTTTCAGCCTCCTGAGCTGCTAGGACTACAGGTGTGAACCACTGTACCTGGCTAGGTTTGAGTATCTTTAAAAGATCAGGATAATCATTGTAAATAGATTGAGCAAACTGATTTTTTTTAATTGAAATGACCAAATATAAAATAAATAACTGTTTAAAAATTTTTAAGTAATATATTGTATAAACAATAATATACACATACATATTATTCCTGCTAGTATATATAGGCTGAACCCCCCACACACACCCCACCAAATTCATACATTAAAGCCCTAACACCCAGTATCTCACAGTGTGACTCTGGAGATAGGGCCTTTAACATGGTAATTAAGTTAAAATGAGGCTGTTGGGGCAGGTCCTAACCCAGGGCTGATTGTTCCTTATAAAATGAGTAGATTTTTAGAACACTCAGAAAGACACCATTGGCCTAGCACAAGGATTGCCATGTGAAGAAGCCACAAGAAGGGCCATAACCTATATATCAAAGAAAGATGTCTTAGATAATTAGATGTCTCACAGAAAAATCAAGGTGACCAGTACCTTGATTTTGATTTTCAGTCTCCAGAACTGTGAGAATATGAATTCCTGTTATTTATGCTACCCAGTCTGTTTGTTGCTGTTGTTGTTATGGAAAACTTAGTAGACTAATGTATCACTTTTTAACAATATTGTAAGTTGATATTATATTTTCTAGTAAGAAGTGTTAGTATATTTTTAACTTTTAAAATAACAATGATTATAATAGCTGTAGATTAAGATTTATTGGTATACTGAAAAAGTGTCTGGTAGTTAGTCAGTCATGAATGGGGAAACAGAAAAAACAAGGAAGAGCAATTGAAAACATGAGTACTTTATCTGACAGATAAGCACCTGGAAGATAAGGGTTCCATACATTTAAAACCTCCCCCAACCACAATTATGTCCCCTGAAGAAAAGCTATTGTTTGAAGATTATGTCACCAGCTACCAGGTGGTCTGGACCTGCCATTCTCCCCAATCACCCTGGCAACTAAAATATCAACACCCTCTTAGAGTTTGCTGAGAGTCATTCAAAGGACAATAAACTGGTTAAGGGGATGGAGAATTGAGGCCAAAACTGGAGGACTTAATTTCCTTAAAGCCTTCAACTCTGAACACTAGCCCACTTCTTTGGAATAGACCTTAACAGTTCCTGTGTTGTCAGTCAAGAGTCAAGGTAGATTTGTCTGGACTCTCTGGAAACTTCCCTGGGACCCCCAATAAAACTGGAGGGAGGACTACACTGTCCCTCTCTTGTCTGAGAGGACCCAATTTCTCCCGTTGACAATGTCCACCTTTTTTTCCTTTTCTATCCATTCTAATAAAACTCACACCTGTTACTCCGAGTAACACGTCTGAAATCTTTATGGCATTATTCCATGAATCAGAATTTGAAGAGGGGGACTTCAGGCTGCTTCAGTTTTGCAGCAGTATAGTAGCTTATAATTTTTTAAGAACTCTGCTAAACAAAATACAGTTCTTTTTCATTCCATCCGTGCATTTGTCCATTTAATTTATTATATATTATTACTTAGTTTTTAGAAGCTTATTTTTTTTTTTTTTTTTTTGTCTCATTCAGTTTCTCTACTAAGGCTTCAGAAAAACAGTAAAAAGACCTAATTGATAGATCAAGAAAAGTACAACAGGGACATCTGACAGCAAAGTTAACTCCTGATATTTGGGGGAGTGAGGAAGGATGATAAAACCTTAAAAATAAAAAATAAAAATCCACTGTTTTCTAACACTGAGTTATGACACGTTTAACATAATAACTATTTCCTCATTGACAATTAATTGACAAAAATTATTTTGGATACAAATCCAATGCTCTGCATATGATACATTAATATTTTCAAATCTAAAGCTTATCTATTTCATTGTTTAAAAATCTCTTTTATATGTAATTTTTATTGTTGTTTGGTACTGAAGCTAGATTTAGACAGGCAGTCAGCATAGATAGGTAAATCAAATCAAGGAGACCAATTTTGAGTGAGTCTGGGAAATGGGAGACTGTCCCCTAAAGCCTTGAACTGTTTACCCTTCCTCCACTCTTATCAAGAACCTGCCCTAGGCTCCAACTTGTTGCCCAGGTAACCTCCCTACAGGGTACAATAAGGTTGTTAATGTGTCCTTGACTGCACCATCCTGCCCTTCCCCCTTCAGCTCACCTGTTTCCCACATTTTGGCAGTCCCAGGAGAATTTCCTAGGCCTGGTCATCTGTGCAGAAGGAGAGAGATAAGGGGAAGATGGCAGAACAAAGGAAGCCTAGGACATATAAAAAGGGCAGAAAACCTCATTTTGGGGATACCAGGATATAAGCTATGGCTCTCTTCTCCTCCCCGGAGACATCTATGTTAACTTTTTAAAAATAAACCCTGTTTTATATGCTTGTCTTGGCATGCTTCTCTAATGTTATACTTCAACATGTGAGGGAGCAGGACTCATCACAGATAACAAGTAATATCAAGGTTACATGTGAAAGACACACGTTTGAAAGTATACCTACTGTAAGATTCCATTTACATGACATTCTTGAACAGATAGAACGACAGACACTGATAGGCAAAAGACCAATGTTTGCCATTAATAGGGGATGGTGTGATTACAAATGGGTGACAGGGGTTTTCTGAGGTTATGGAACTAGTGTATATTCTGATTGATTGTGGTGGTGATTAAACAAATCTATTCAATGTTAAAACTCATAGA